CCCTAAACCCTAAACCCTAAACCCTAAACCCTAAACCATAAGCCCTAAGCCCTGAACCCTAAACCCTAAACCCTAAACCCTAAACCGAGGCCGGAGCCGGAAGGGTCAAGGGCCGCTGTTACCTTGGCCTCCTGGCCGCTGGGCGCTGGAACCTTCGGTGGTGGTACGGGTTCTTTGGGGGCTTTTGGGGGTTTAGGGTTTAGGGTTTAGGGCTTAGGGTTCAGGGTTTAGGGTTTAGGGTTTAGGGGCTTGAGGTTTGAGGGGTTGAGGCTTGAGCTTGAAAGGCTTAAGGGGTTATATATGGTTTGGCGCTTTAAGGTTTAAGAGGCTTAGTTTTTGGGTTGGTTTAGGGCTTTCTGTGCTTTTCGGGGTCCAGGGGGTTGGATGGGTTGACGTCCTTTGTGTCTGTTGGTTTGGGGCCGGAACATCCCTGGCCGGATCGACCAGGATCTTCAGTAGTACCCATTTTGCCAAGGTTTAATGTAGGGAGTTAGGGGTTTAGGGGTTTAGGGTTTAGGGCTGGGGGCTTTAATTATTAGAACGGGGTTTTGGGTGGTTCCTTAATATGAGTATAGTATAATATTCCAAAACCTATTCTTTCTCATTGCTAAAACCCCTACATCAGGTGCTTAGGGTTTGGGATCATCAACCGTTCCTTGGTTCTCAAGTCGTACCTTTGTGTCTTGTTTTTTGGGTTTCTTTAATCAAAACGGAATAGCAGGAAAAAAGGGTACCCTTATGGTTAAGGGGCTACTAGGAAAGCTGGTAGAAGTCAGTATCATTAGAGACAGTATCCCCTTATCGTCGAAAGTGCTACCTTTTTTAGGATCCTTGCTACGGAGTCATGACCAGACGAAATCAACAGGGTTTTGGGCTCGGTGTTCAGGGTGTAGGGTAGTAGTGATCATGAGTCATGTGACGTATATAACTCAAGCATCACTGCAGCTTAAGAGTGACAAGACAAGAGCTGTGCAAACTTCTGCTATTTGGTAGAATCCGTCAGTATCTCGGTTTAAGGTTTATACGTTCAGTTGGTCACCTTCAGCATTGTCAGCATTCTTAGGCTTGTGGGGCACAGGATCTTGGGTTCGTATGATCATGGGCTTGCCTTACGACCATTTCGTCTGTGACGGGCCGTTCTTTTCTTCGTAGATTGCCGTCGAGGGCTTCTTGAGGTGTCAAAATACCTGGGCTCCGGACAGTTGAGGGTTTAGGGTTTAGGGTTCCAAAAAAGATCTTTCACACCCTCCGGTACCCCGGAACCGTACACCCCACATCCTAAGTTAAGCTGAAGCCACATCAGAGAACACATGGCAAAACCAGGAAAAGCCTAGAAATTGAAACCTGAACCCTCCCCCATAACGGTTCAGGGTCTGGGGTTAAACCCGATTCCAACCTCCCTGTACCGCACATCCACAGCCTAAACCCTAAACCCTAAACCCTAAACCTTAAACCCTAAACCCTAAACCCTCCCCGTACCGCGCATCCACAGTTCTAACTGAATAAGGGTAAAGAGCCATTCGAGCCCAAGGCTTCCAATCCCAAAACCCGAGTCCCCGGGGTTTAGGGTTTAGGGTTTAGGGTTCAGGGTTTAGGGTTTAGGGTTTAGGGTTTAGGGTTTAGGGTTCAGGGTTTAGGGTTTAGGGTTTAGGGTCCGCTGAGCCCCTAATCAAGCCCTGAAGACTTTTGCTAGCAATCGCATGCTTGGCGAGACTTCACATTCATCACCACTTCGAGGTCGCTATCCACTTGCTGGGCATGTGCCTCGACGGCGCAGGGCTTTTAAGGATTTCGGCTAAACCCTAAACCCTATCAAGGGGTACTATGAGGGTTTCTATAAGCATAATAGGGTTTAGGGTTTTAGGCTCTTCTGGGTTTTGGGGTATAGAGTTTATATGGGGCTGAGGGCGTTTTGGGCTTCAGGGCTTGGGGCGTAGGAGTTCAGGGGTTTAGGGCTTCTCTGCGGGTCCGGAGTCGACGGTTCGGGTTTAGGGTTTAGGGTTTAGGGTTTAGGGTTTAGGGTTTAGGGTTTTGGTTTTGGTTTCCAGTGTGTCTGTGCTGTGCCCAAAGAGAGTCCAAATATCCGATTTAACATCCCCCTAAGTCCTAAACCCTAAACCCATCACTGCTATTTTGGCCCTATCAGAGTCAAGTCCTCTATCCATGACCGGAGAGTAGACCTTGAAGCCTAGATCCTTAAACCGCATGCCTAAGAACCCGAATTCGGGGTCCCTAAACCCTAAATACTAAACAAACTCCAAACTCTACATCCTAAAACCCTAAACTCCAAACTCTACATCCTGAAACCCTAAACTCCAAACTCTACATCCTGAAATCCTTAACTCCAAACTCTAAATCCTAAAACCCTAAACTCCCAGCTCGAAATTCCCAACCCTAAACTCCAAACTTCAAATCCTAAAACCCTAAACCTAAACTCCAAACTTTAAATCCTAAAACCCAAACGCTAAACTCCAAGCTTTAAATCCTAAAACCCCAAACGCTAAACTCCAAACTCTAAGTCCTAAAAAGCGTCTCAGCCAAGTCTAGCCTTATGGAAGCCTTATTTACCCTAAACTCCCCACTTGTAGTTTCCTTAAACCCTAAACCCTAAACCCTAAACCGGCCCAGAGGTACCTGGACCTGGCCATGTTCGACTTTCAGCAGCGGTGTCTCGGCTCAGAGATGCCACGGTTCAGGGTCTCGGGCGGAGGAGTTACAGCCTGAACCGGGAGGGCTGATGTTGTAGGGTTTATATGTTAAGGGGTTTAGGGGTTTAGGGATTAGGGTTTATATGTTTAGGGGTTTAGGGGTTTTGGGATTAGGGTTTATATGTTTAGGGGTTTAGG